TAATGACATGGATTTCCACCAATTATTTCAATATTTAATTCATTATTAATCAACTGTCATACTGGGGGCCTGGTATGTAAGCCTTTAAAACTACAAATACTCGTGCTATACAACTAATGTTATGTTAATTATATGTGGAGTTAATGGCTAAAGGTATGCCAGAATGCCATACGACACAATGCATTACCATATTATCCCTAATATATAATACATACACAGAATATATGTAAAAATATAATAATCAATACATTTTTATAGGCAATCATTTGGAGGGGCAATAGTATTGACAAAATTATGAGTCTAAATGACACAAACCTTTACACTTATTGGTGTTTTTGTCGAGAATGGCTTTCGTCGATATTATAGTCCCGTAACTATTCACACAAACAAATATATAAATATAAAAAACAATTTTTTAGTAAAATTATCTAAATATAGCGCAAATACATCAATAAATCTTATAAATACGTGTCAGCAAGCAATTTATAATAATAATACGGAAAACCCTTAATAACAACGTGTACTGCAAAAAAATCAATTAATTTTACTCAATACTCATTTGATGGCTATTTCTCGAGTCACTAATACAAGCAAATTCTGTACAGAATATTCTCTGTTTACATACATATGGCTCAACAATTTCCTGTACACTAAGGGGTTGACAGCATATACTCAGACAACCACTCGACACGTATTGTACTGGACAGAGAAGTAGGCTATACTTACGGCGAGCACAGGGCGTATAAGTCCTTATCGGTGGTGGTGGGCGTGAGGCCCCGGATGTAGAGATTAGTTTTGCTCAGCTGTTCGGCCAGCGATGTGGAGTTCCCGTTGGGGGCGCCGTTGCCCGCGTTGTTGGCCAGACCCCCGTTCCCAGTGACACCTACGGCCGAGTTGGCCGACCCGGAGCTGCTGGCCGAGGCTGAGCCGTTGGAGGCCGTCTGAGACGAGCCACCGGTGCTGGCAGTGGACACCGGCGGCGATGAGGCCGGCATTCGTGAACTCTGGTAGCCCTGCGATAGTGGGGGAAAGGGAAGGCAAACACAATGATTAGACCATTAATATGAATGCGTGTGTTGTATAGAGAGGTGTGTTTTTATATATCGAGGAGTAATAGTATGGATAGAAAAAAGACATTCAAATATCATATAATACTTAAGGCATGAGAGAGAAAAATACAGCGAAAGACACAAAAATCAATACAATAATAGAGAAGACACTGAACTCTAAACAGCATTTCTCTTTTGATTTGTCTCTCGCTATATGTTTTATAAGCACTCGATTTCAGACATTCTTAACAAATATAACACTTGAATAGATGGTGGAGAGAGAGAGAGAGAGATTGGAAGGAGAATAGAAATACTTTAAACAATATTGTGATACGAGTTCTATCTCTCTTCTCTCTCTCTCTCTCTCTCTCTCTCTCTCAAAATGATTGAGACATTTGAACACTTGAAACAACAACTCGGAGATGTTTTAAAGCATAATATTCAACAAATATATTCATATATTATATTTTACTTTAAATGATAACAAAGAGAGTGAGAGAATAATACAGAGAAATAATACAATCAAACATATCCTCACAGAATATATAATAAATAAAAAGGTATTGCTTTAACAACAAAAAACTTTTTCCATTGTAATCAATAATAAGTTTAAAGGATTTAAACAATTTTCTCGAGAAAAATGATTTCAAAACACAATTTAAACTATAAATAGATTATTATATAATAGGATGAAAATGTTGCGCAAAACGACTGCTATCTTAACGATAAACGAGTATTACTTTTGAACACAAAAAAAGGAGTTTTCAGCTAAACATCGGCCAAACTGTACGTCTAGTCTGTGTACGTATACGACTACACGTTAATTTGATTTAAGGCTTAAAAACTGAGTGCAAATCGCACTCAAATCTATTGAATGCAACAATAATATTAGCAAGGCTATACAGAATATAAGCCGTATACTCGGAAAAGTGCACAGGTTGCTTTTTTCGGTAATAATTGGCTAGAAAAACACAAAAACCCTATGTTTTTATATATATTTATAAAAAATTACATACAGTTAGACATATGATTGGCTATAAAAATAAGATGAAAAATACTAATTGTATATAAATTATTAAAAACCATTTTGGTGGATGTAATTCACTTATGGGAATCAATTGGAGTGGAAGTTGAATGAAAAGCACAAATTTTACGGCATTTTTCTGATACACAATCTAATTATTAAATAATATATTACGAAAGATTCAAAAGCACCAGTAGTTTTACGCGATATATAATAGATTATACATTAATAAGTAAAAAAACAAGGTTTACGGGTAACAATGTCAGCACCAACTACCGTATTTATAAACATTAAACTAGCAAGCTTAATACTGAAACTGCAAAATCCAATGGCACTCAAAACCTACTGAACAAAACCCACTCAATATCGACTAAAACCATGTCTAACGCAGAGAACTACCGGTGCGGTAGAGCGCAGGGATTTCATACGAGAAAAGTTTTAATAAAATTATAGATTTCGTGCTGAAAAACACACAATTTATTGTATATTTTCTCTCCAATATATCTCCAATTTTATAGGAAATTTTTGTATAAATTTTTGTTTCGGGGCTTTGTTTCTGACAACTGGTTCACAAATAAATTGCACTCAAATATATAGATCCCGATCCACTCTATCATCCATATTCTCTACAATACACTCCACTCTATGCATGCATTTCTCGCAATTCAATCAACCGTTTCTCGCGACTCGAGAGCACCGGTATATCCCATTGAGATGCAGCGAACATATGGCAACGCGGGGTATACTACGCGAAAAAAGGGGTAGGAGGGAGTGGGGGTGGCTCTAGAAAATGCTAATTTCTATACGAAACCCCAGTGTTAAAAGTCGTGTGTTTACGGGAAACACAGACACCACACAAAAAAAAGGACAAAAAGGTAATAAAATATTAGTTAAAATGCAATAGAAATGCAAATAACGGCCAATAAATCGAAATGAAATGATAAAAAACAAAACAAAAAACACAACTAAAGCCTTGACTGGAAACACCATTCCGGGAGACAAATGATGGTATAATTTCAAACACATTATACCGCATCTCATATAATATATGTGTGTATACGAGTGGAAAGGGATCATCTTATACATCAGCGATAAAACTAATGGCAAAAACTTTAAATTAGACTNAAAAACTTTAAATTAGACTTAAAACAAGAAAAATAAACAGAAATAGTTTTGCAGCGCAAAAATACTATACACATAAATGGCAAACTCATTGAAATGATAAATTTCTAGACATTTAAAGTATAAGTATTCATATAATGGAGAATCGCATGTATTCTCTATACACAGGAATATTCGTGACGATTAGGCTCACGATTAGTGACTAAATTAAATATATGCATAAAAAAGGAGACAATTTTCAACAGTAATTATCATATAATACGAAAACCTGTTCTCTCTCTCTCTCTCTCTCTCTCTCTCTCGTAATAAACAGATAAACACTAATAATAATAAACATTTTTAACGTTAAGAACTTAATCACAAAATATCACAAATGAGTTGAAAAATACACAAAAAAACAGCAAATATTACAATAAAAACAAAGCAAAGAAATTAAAATAAACATAATATAGAGATATGTGTTTCTGGTGTCTGACGCGTTTGGGTACTAAAAATAAACTGATATAATAGGCAATCACTGATTAGACGAGACTTTTATTTAACTTTCAAACCCGTATCGACATATTTGTACAGTGCACTTTTGGTAATGGCAACCTATGGCCGACTATATTCTGTACACAGAATAATACCCAGAATATAATACGAGAATAAATCCCTATAATACAGACACACAGAGACTATTAGATAATAGTATACATAATAGCAGTGAATGTAGTAATCCTCGAGAAAAAGGCATTTTGGAGACATTATTTTCCCAGAGATTTAATATATTATATAAAGTATAACGAGAATTGTGTGACTATTTTAATGCCATTCCCTATCGCCCATAGACTACTTGCTTTCGCGATAGGCATTACTAATTCACGAGAAAATTTAGTTAAAAAATAATAGATCCTGATTAATAAATCACTAATATTTATAAATAATATTTGAGATAATCTGCT